CGAAATTATCCACGTCGAAATGGAGGAATACATCCCTCACACGGTGAAAGTGCCTAGACCAGGGTCCAACGGCTGGTTTAACAAATCGTGTGACGCTGCTCGCCAGCAGAAGATCAAGGCACACAGAACCTTCTTACAAAACCCCACTGTAGAGAACAGACAAGCCGACGTTGAGTCCAGAAACAAATATAAAGCAGCGGTTCGCAATGCCAAAAACCAGCACGATATAAAAGTTAGGCACAGGCTAATGTCGCAGCACAATGGCAGTCGGTCTTTCTGGACTCTGGCAAAGCAGATTGAAAAGAACTTCTCACACAGTAGCCTTCCACCACTTACTTGTCAGGATGGAACTATTATATTCAACTCAAAGGCCAAGGCGGAAGCGCTAGCCAAGATCTTTGCTGCCAACTCCACCATGGACGTCCCCCCCAACGCCCAAGTGACGTCAATTCAATGGGTTCCCTACACTATGCGGGAGGTAACAGTGCTTTTGTCGCTCGAAATCAACAAAGCTTCTGGTCCGGACTTGATTCCTGCCATTGTACTGAAGAGGTGTGCACCGGAGCTTGCTCCAGTTCGTTCGCGTCTCTTCCAGATATCTTAAGAATCCGGCACCTTACCAGAAAACTGGAAATTTGCTCATTTCCAACCCATCCCAAAAAAGGGATCTAGGACCGACCCTTACAACTACAGGCCTATAGCTCTGCTTTCTGTTTTAAGTAAGGTGATGGAGAGGTGCATAAATCGCGAGCTTCTGCACTACCTCGAACGTCACGGCTTGATTAGCGACAGGCAGTATGGTTTCCGGCACCAACGATCCACAGGGGACCTCCTAGCTTACGTCACTCAGTTGTGGAGTAAACTCATCCAGTCTTATGGTGAGGCTCATATCGTTGCTCTTGACATCACGAAAGCGTTCGATCAGCTGTGGCACGCTGCCCTCTTAAGCAAACTTCCATCCTATGGCCTCCCAGAAAGGCTTTGCAGATGGGTAGCTGACTTTATGTCTGGCCGCAAGATATCCGTCGTAATTGACGGGTTCTCCTCTTCATCCCACAACGTCAACGCGGGTGTTCCCCAGAGATCGGTCTTGGCTCCGACACTGTTTCTCTTACATATCAACTACCTCCTTTCCTGCACGATCAACCCAATCCACAGCTTCGCTGATGACAGCACTCTACATGCAGGAATTCAGAGTGACAAACCGATCTCTGCCGCTGAGTTGGAAAAAAAGAAGCGATGACTTCCTCTCTGACAAGAGACCTGGAGGCTATCACTGCTTGGGGACGCAACAATCTTGTACAGTTCAATGCTTCCAAAACGCAGTACTGTACTTTGATGAACAAAAAGCGTCCCTGCGCTCACCCGGTTTCGATGGATGGTCGAGTTCTGCCAAAGAGCCATTGATTTCGGCTGGTCGGAGTCCAGATCACCGAGGACCTGATCTGGCACGAACACATCTCGTCAATAGCTGCAGCTGCTGGGAAAAAGCTAGGCTATTTGTTTAGGGCTAAGAAGTACTTTTCTCCGCATGACCTTCTCACTCTATACAAGGCCCAGATAAGGCCTAGCCTCGAGTATTGCTCACATGTTTGGGGTGCTGCCGCCCCGACTACGTTATCCATGCTCGATGCTGTCCAGAGGAGGGCGGTCCGACTGATCGATGAATCTTCTCTAACAGACAGTCTCGGGACTCTTTGGCACCGGCGGGCTGTCGGCGATCTGGCTCTTTTCTACCGTTACACCAACGGGCTTTACTCCTCAGAGCTCTCTTCCATTATGTCGTCGCTCAATGTGCCTGCCAGAAAGACCCGCCTGACTTTGGCGTCCCATCCTAACCGTGTCGAGCTTCGTACATCCAGAACCGGCCGATACGACCGCTCCTTTGTCCCGAGTTTGTCGAGATTGTGGAACAATCTGCAAGAGGAAGCTTTTCCCAGTTCTATTAACCTTGGGCAGTTCCAAAATCGTATTAATAAAATTTCTTTGGGATCATCATAGCAGCCGCGGTGCTCCGGCATTTAGGCTTATGCCTGCGCGGCTGCTTCGATATATATAAAAAAATCATTGTGCGGTAAGTATTGAGGTATTTGTATTGTCCCTTCTAATTTAAATTTCAGAAATTAAACCGTTATCACAGAAATGTCACCACGCTTCTTGCTTGACCATGCGTAATCAGTATCAGCTTCAGGGACACCTTATATGGTCCGTATCATATTACCGATAAAACTATAATAATTCAGCTTCAGTATACGGAAACACCATTAAATCAATAAGCATTTCCACACTTACTATACTAGGTATTTTATAACAGCATATTCATGTCAACGTGTTGCAAATCAAACGCCAACGTGTATCACTATACCAGATCTAAAAATGAGGTTTGATAGAGCTGCACTATAACACTTTTTGCGTAATCTATGTCTGATAACGATCTGTATTGCATCGGAGGCGTGAAATGTGTAGTTGAACGTGTCAGTTTGTCAGCCAGTGGCGTTGCTTAAGGTACGAGGTCTGTAAATTAAGTAATGCGCCGACAACGTAGCTTTCGATCTGGCAACACTGGAGGCGCCGGGCTTGGAGGGGAGACAGAGGAACGTGTGATCCGCCTTCAGTACAAGCTTTAACTCGCTCGGGTCATTTATTTTTTTTTTGTGAAACACTTTTCCTGTTATGTTCAAAAAATGTGTGACATAAGCTTTTGCTCAACTTCAACAGGCCTATGCATGCTAAACTTCAGCAGGGCTACGCATATAGTGTTTTAGTGCGTTCATATTCAAGAACCGATGAAAATATCGGCAGAATCCGGTATCTTGTGCCTTCAGATCGTCTTTTAACAGTCAGAATGAACAAATTTCATCAAAATCCGACCGGTTATTTCCAAGTTACCGACGGATTAAGGATTAGCGGACAGACAGACCGACGGATTTTCATGGCATATAACATCCAAAAACATATCTTATTTTCGAAAGTTTTCGCGACTACAATACTCCCTCACCAATAGGCATGCGAGGTAAAAGTAAAATTATTCCCAATATATTTTGAAGGCTAAATATTGATGTATCCTCGAATTAGAAATTTTCGAAAATACCTACCTCATTGCTTCAAGATGTGTACAGAACGATTTCCAACTCCAGCTTTCATTACAGTCGCCGTAATCGACATTGCACTGCTTCCTCGTATGTGAGATTCAACTTTCAATTTTAAAACAAAAAACAGTTGCTAGATCCTTATTCATAGGACTCGAAAACTCTGTATAAGGTCCAGATAAGGCCTAGTCTCGATGCTGCCTAGAGTGACGAAATTGTGGAACAACAACAACAACAAGCTCCTCCTGGCAGCTGCGGAGCCATGATATTTAGGCTTCTGTCTGTGCAGCTGCTTCAGTATTAAAAACAACGAAAAATTGATTCCAGTACGCCACTGGTTAGTTAAACATCCACTATTCTTGCTCCAAATTAGCTGATTGTAAAGGTGAGAAAGTGCGTTGGCGGTGACGAAAAATCAAATGAACTGTACCATGACGCATCCTTACTTGAAATTCAAGATCAATAAGCTTCAAAATATGCAGTGAAAATACATATTACGTTATTGTTTGCTTTAAGAAGGGGAACTCTGACAAAACGATGTACAATTGATGTCTAGTTTTGTGGCTTGCCTTGTCTCTAGATAAGAAGTTGAGAGTTATCTGGTAATAAGCAGATATAAGAACTGGTTAGGATTTGACCATCGTTCCTTAACATTCCAGTGGCTACTACTTTTCGAAGGAATTTGGCATCCCTAAGAAAATTGAGACGTTTATTGGTTAAGGACACATGTAATGTAGCAGTCTTATTTTTTCATGATCTGCACAGATGACGGAATAAAAATGGTTGATGGTGGCACTTGCACTAAAATAATAATAATAATATAATAATGTTTATTGAACCAGAAAATTAAAAAAAAAACAGTGAGAGAAAAGATATCAATAAAATATGATTCTGAAACGTAAACATCGAAAATATACCCCACTGAGTGCTAATGCGCTGTGCATGGGGAGGAAAAATACATTAATTCACAGTTATAAGGTATTCGAATAATAGAGAAGCTAAAATTAAACAAATAACTTACATGTAAAGACGAGCGTCAATAATTATCAACTTACAAAAAGGTCGAATAACGAATGAGCAGAAACAGAATGCAAGATATACACATATGTAGATTTTAAAAATACACAAGTATGCTGCAAAGAAAACAATTAAGAACTTCACACAAAAAGTTATTTATTTCGCGAACATCCTATTGCCTAATTAATATGTTCAACTTTGTCTAAAACAGACACAAAGAGTTTAGCTTTAGAATAACCTTTGTATGGAGTTGTACAACTTGATGCCTAATTAGTCTAGGCTTTTTTAAACAGTCGCTGATTGCCTAAAGTTCAATACCTAGTTTGCTCCCACATGCCTCGTACTATAATTATAAGATGTATACCTCAATAAATATTTACTCTTATATACACAACTTTTAAATAAATATTTTCGCTCCATTTATCCATAGAGAGCTGCCGTTGGGCATCGTATAGTTTCCTTTAAAATCATTTAAAAAAATCTCTTTTGAATTAATTGCAGTGGCTCCAAATGAGCTTCAAGTATACCTCCCTATGCATCTACTTCGTACTGTAATAATTCATAAACCGCATTTCGTTACCAGCGTACATTGGAAAAGTTGTCCCTTCAAGGAATACTATTTGGAATGTCAGTGGTGAGATGCATGCATCTGTCTAATACGGATCAGTGGACGCGCTTGTATTCAATAAAAATTTAAGGTGATCACGGACCCATTTTACTAATTTTTTGATGATACTGTCGGTAGGACAGCGAAAAATAGGTGTAGAATAATTGTATGTGCCTTTTTGATTGACTTGAGCCGTTTATACATTTTCATAGCTAACTTTTTTCTGCGAAGTTCTAAGTTATTATATGGGAAGTGCAGATTCAACCCACATTTTATTGCTTTTCCAGACGCTCCAGCATGGCTTCCCTCACAAACCATCAGCAATGGCGTGGGATCCCACCCTGCGTCTTCTGTGTGTGGGCACCGCCACAGGGGCTGTTAAAGTGTTCGGGCGTCCAGGGGTTGAATTTTACGGCCAACACAGAGAACCAGTTCCGGTCACACAGCTGTGTTTCCTGCCTAGGAGAGGAAGGGTGGTGGCGCTGTGTGATGACAACTCGTTGCATCTCTGGGAAGTGAACAGAAGTTCGCTAGTTGAAGTTAAGGTAAGTCACTGTTAAGACACTTATTTCATCTTCCATTTCTATGATTCTCTTTTTTATCCTCTGTCAGTGGCGTATGTCTGGTTTTCAAATCTGATAGAAGAATAACTGACTCAATAATAAAGGATCCAGATTCTGAAACTGCCCTTGCATTTTCTCTACGACTATTGGTTCCTAAGATATTCATGCTGAAAGGCAAAATACCCTTTTTCATTCCAAGTCAGATATCTTCGCCGGAACTCGATGTAGATAAAAATTGAGAAAAAGGAAATTGAAGCTGGATAAGCAGGTTGTTACATCCATGTGATTGTTTGCCTGAAAAAAATTGCCCACCAAACCAACCAAAAAAAAATAATGCATAATTTTTGGCTCACAAGATATGTCGCGTTATTGCTTAGGATTATGTGGAAACCGTTACTGTTAACCTATTTGTTCGCGAGATCTGAAAACTAGAGTATTGGAGCTTCAACATAGTTTCTTCAAAACCTCGATGCGATCATTTTAACCTAAAAAATAGTCCGTGAAAATTGGCGAATTATTCTTGATCACTTGATTTTTTCGAAAAGTGTAGTATCGAATTGAGGCCTAAAAGCTATAATTTGTGCTTCTCTATATTTTTTTCAGTCACAAGCACTGGAAGGCAAGTTGAAGAAGATATCAACAATGTGTTTGGAGTCTGCGGGCAAACACTTGTTGTTGGGCACTGAAGGCGGAAATATCTACCTACTGGATCTAAATACCTTCACTATGACTCCAGACATAATCTACCAAGATGTTGTAATGCAAAAGTGAGTAGACTAAGGTCCTTTAGACAATTTAGATTTTTTCTAACACATGTCACTTTGAGTATGACTATCAGTTTTGGATTAATTATTTAATGTCAATGTTAATTATTCGAATATACAAATATGTCTGTTTGGACAGTATTTATTTCTACGAACTGACATAAGCAGACTTAAACCGTAATACTGTGAAATCAAAGCTAATTGCCATATTTACGGTTGTTGTGATAGCGTATTTCTGCTATTGATTATTTAAATGTATCTCTACTCATAAAAAGACACATTCCTCATTTCAAAAAAAAATTCTGTACCCTCTGTTGATACAAAATCATCAGCTTTAAAAACAAAAACCAAGGAAATAATTGTGTCTTGAACTGCTTTCGTTGTAATTGTACTACAAGAACTTTTAGTTTGTAAAATATTTCAAGAACAATTTCAAAATCAAATCGCAAAGCAATTCATACCAAATTTGCTTTTCAGTGTTCCCCAAGACTACAAGCTGAACCCAGGAGCTGTAGAAGCAATATATGAGCAACCAGACAATCCGAACAACATTTTGATAGGGTACAACAGGGGATTGATCGTCCTTTGGAATAGGAGCGAAAATACGGCCGTTAAAACCTTTATTTCTAATCAACAGTTGGAGTCGCTTTGCTGGAAAGAGGATGGAAGGCATTTTATCAGTTCACACAACGACGGTGAGTTTACATTTGTAAATGGGTTAGTTTTTGGTTCCACAGAATGTTTGATCGATATCTGTTATAGCTATGGAGCTAGAAGCATTTAGTTTAAATAGAAAAAAATAAGGTTTGAGATAATTTTAAGATATTTAGTTCCGAAAAACTATAAGTAAACCATTCCGAACCTGGCTCTCTCCCCTCCTACGTCAAAGAGCATGATGTTAGTTCACTGTGAGCATCTTCAAGATCTTATTGATACTCCGCGAGTGCATTTGAGTATTCAGAACGGCACCATCGTTCTCCATATTTCCATCGGAGCTGAATAGGTTTGTTCATATGGTGCCAACAGCCATCTGGTAGGACCTAAGCAGCCTCAAATGTTGCAAACTTAGTAAAAACCAAACAAGCTACAAAAACTAAGGGACTTCTGTAGAATCAATTGTTTTTATAATATCCAAGAAATTTTAACTTCTGACATGATTATTTGTTTTTACTATAACCGCATTTTAATACTCACTACGCTATTCGCCGACACAGCTTTCAACGCTGGAGTACTCAACAAAAAATTAAATGGATCATATGAATTGTCCGCCAGGTTGAATGGTCAGTCATATCTTGCTTTTCTACAAAGCAGTTTGCATGAGCTGCTTGAGGATGTACTTTTGGACGTTCGAAGCAGCATGTATTTCTAATGCGATGGTGTCCCATGCCACTTTGCACGGGATGTACGGCATTACTTAGACAGTGCCTTTCCTGGGCGATGGACACATACGATGGCCTCCAAGGTCACCCGATTTAAATCCTCTAAATTTTTTTATATGAGGGTTTTATAAGAGGATAATCTATACATCTCAATGTACAAATGTCAACCAACTGTGCCAGAAAATTGATGAAGCAAAAATAATAATTATGGAAAACGCAAATTCATTTCAAAGACTAAAGGACAATTTTATTAGGTGTCGCTTGTGTATAGAAAATAATGGAGGCCATTTCGAACATGTTCTTTAAAAGTTAGTTAAAGTAAATTATCTTCCACATTTGTTGGTAAGTCGCCATAAAGAGCGGCTAAACTCAATAGATTCTGTACTTGTAGGTGGTAAGGATTCTGTTGTGCTTCTTACGTTTATCACAACAACGAATGAGACATGTAGCAAGCTGAAATTCTTAGGGTTTATTCTACATGGATTGGAATAGTCTTTACAATAAAATGAATAATGAAATACAACCTCAATTTTTTTACCGCCCTCCAAAGAGATTTTTTTACAAAAAAATGAATTTAAGATTTTTTGCGTTGATTTCTAATAAGCTCTGTTAAAAAGTGACATAACCCAAAACTAACCATTAAGCTCATCTCAGAAAAAAAAAATCGCTGCACTAAAGCTAATTGTTTAGTTGTAATTGCGATTGAAAGTTCAGTATCCCGTTTTTTTCTAAATATCACAAAATTGCAAATAGTTCCTGAACTATGAAATTTTGGACCACACATATAGGGCTTCATTCGGTAGTTTTTGAGGCCCTCTATCACCTGACTTCCGTTGATCCACTCCTAACTTTACACCCTGTATAGCACCTAAAAAAATGTTTTCACTTTAATACTGATTGTCCTTACATATGACCTGTGTAAACACGTATGTGTATTTGAACATCAATAAACCTTGTTATCTATAAATTTGCTTTAGTATTTTGAATAATTAATTACATTGGCACTGGACCAATATTTCTTTATATGACGTGTTTTGTTTGTAGGTAGTTACATGGAATGGGACATTGACCAATCTGAGAAACCCTGCGGAGAACCGGTCACAACATACGGTCCATATTCATGCAGAGCAATACCAAAGCTCCTGACCAGGACTCTCAACGATGATCAACTGCTTGTTTTCTCAGGAGGTCTTCCTAGAGCTACATATAGCGACAAATACACCGTATCTGTGATTCATGGAGAAAAACATGTGGCTTTTGATTTCACCAGTAAAGTAAGTTTGTTTCACAATATCGTAGCTAGTTATAGTATAAATAATGTCTATCTCCACGAAAATTGCAATAGGTCATATGTTGTAGAAATTAACAACAGTTTATCTGGTTTTGTAAAAAGTAAATGGAGGGGAATTTAAGAGTAAATCAAACTACTATATAGCACTGTTTTTTTATATTCATATACTTAAGATAATTTGATATATGAAAATGTACATATTCCACTTAAAGTTGCTTGTTGCTTCACGTATTAGCTTTCAGCTATCGATGCTTCAAATAAAAAAATGATGTCAAAGTTTTTTCTGTGTAATAATTTTTCATCAGCATCAAAAGATATTCGATATTTTTTTTAGAAGTGCATAAAAATACATTTTCTTTTCGCATCTGGGGCGTATATGCCTTATCTATCTCATTGGATTTGTTGCCTTGTCGTCCTTTAAAAAAATCAACTTTGATATGCGAGTCAAAATTGGGATATGTTGTATAATTATAAATATTTTATCAATATGCTTTCAGATACCATATACAATAATCCATAAATAGTTTTCTTTGAATAGTTTTTGTTTAGGAGCAATATTTTGTCTTCCCACGGTTGGAACACCCTGTACATGTTCGTAGTTTTTTTATAGTAATAATCTTTGATGATAGCATTGCTTGGGAAGTGCAGAATCAACCTACTTAACGCCATTTGTTTCTCATTTCAAATTATTATTGTATGTACCCCTTTTTAATTGTCGGCTATTAAGCTTACCTTGCTAGAACGTTGAAACTTTGACTTCATTTTTTTGGATAGCTAGATTTCTATGTAAAATTAACGAGAATTTATTTGCGTTGTTGGCTGACAGATTGGTGTGAACGGAAGTTCAGATAACGATAGTGAGGAAGAACAGTTTGGGAATAAGGTACACGAAAATGACGATAGTCGGCGTGTTCGTTTAGAGTTCGTTGTGGAAGTGCATGATTGGCTTTTAAAGAAATATTGCTACATTTCTGCATGTGTTGAACAGTCTATTGCTTATTGTAGCGTGATACCCGGTTGTTGTTATTTTGTTTGATTGTTAATATTTATTAAGCAATAATGATATAACGTCAGTTTTGTATAAATACTCTTGTACACATTTTTTAATCAATTTCCCGTAATTTCACATTATTGTCTATTGAAATTACATCACTATGCATTTTCGGTATTCATAAAGTGTTTTTTTTTTAATTTCACCTTAAATATTTAAATTCGAACTCTGTTTAATATCAATATTCAATCTACTAAATTCAAACACTCCCTTTTAAAATACAGGTTTGCTAGTTCTGCTACTATTACAATTTTGCAGATGAAAATATATACTTAATTTTCTTTCTAATTAACTTTTTTTTAGTTAATTAAATATTGGTACATATAATTAGTAAGGTAAAGCCTTTAGAAATTTTAATTAAGACTTCTAGTTTCGTAGTTATGATAATGACTATTTAATTTTGTGAAATTGTCTAACTGATTTTTTAATTTGAATATGAAAACTAAACATATAAAATTTTTTACATCCAACCACTGCAATTCTTCTAACATGGACAATCTTTGTCTTTATTTAAAATGATTCTCATAGCTTTATTTTGTAGAATTTGTAATAACGAAAATATGTTATCATTTGCTGTACACAAAATAATAGTTTAACAATATAAAAAATGGGGAAGAATCATAGTCTTAAACACATTTTTTTTTCAATGCCAGATTATGGGAAACTTTATAGGAGTAATTTTTCTTTTTTATTATTTATGAAATAATGTATTCATTTGTAATATATGAATCAATATTTTAGCGTACTATCAGTAGTTGAATCATGAATCGTAAGAATAATAGAAGGCGACTTTACCAAGTACATGCAGAATTGTCAGCAATTTGCTAAGCTTTCAGTTTATTTTGTTAATAGGCCAGGCAATATCTTCGCATCTGATGGGAAAAGTATTGATTAGGATTTTTTTCAGAACCTTATTCAACAAGGAGGCCCCCTTTTAACAAATCTGCATGTTGCCAGCCCCTTAATTTGCTTCAAAATTTATTAAGGTAATTGTATAAGCACATTCCAAAAAAAAATAATTATTCGCTCCGAAAAAAGCTTTTATTGTTTTTTTTTTGTCATTCTGCACAAAAGAGATCCTAATGAACATATATCTAAAGCTAAGTGTAATTCAGGGGAAGGTTTTTTGAACAATTTTTTTAAACAAATCCCAAAAATTTTTTTTCGCTCCGGTCATGGTGTGTTTAGAGTTTTCGAGATATAAATGAAAAAGTGCGAAATATGCCATTTTCCACCCCAGAAGATAATGTGAAAAAACGAATATTTTAATGTCGTCAATCCTCATAAACAAATATTTACAATAACAATGCCTCCTCGGGTGCTTTGGGATTTTGTCAATGGATGTTTAAAGAATATTCAGGAATATTGGTAACGTTAAAATTTTCGTTTTTTCATATTGTTTTTCGGGGTCATATTTCGCACCTTTTCATATATTGTATCGATTATATCTCGAAAACTATAAACTTCAGATACGGGATTTTAAAGCACTTCTTTTGTTCATAATGTGCTAAAAAACCCCAAAACATTGACCTGGGCAAAAAAGAACAATTTTTGGAATTTGCATAAAAAATTATTCAAAAAGGTTTTGACGTAAATTTTGGTCTGGCAACCTACTGGTTCGTTAAAAGAGGGTTTTTTAATAAGATTGTGCAAAAAATCCGAATCAGAATATTTTCCCATCAGGTGCGAAGATGTTCCCCGGGCTACAAGGGTATTTTCATAGCTTGCTTTTAGCTATGAGTTCTAGCAGTAACAGCCAAGAAGGATAAAAACCAAGAAGAATGAATGTCAAATAGATTTTCATTCTGATAGTGTAGGTTGTTGTAAAATTTTCTATCCTTGGCCAACACTGCGTTTGAAACTTGTGAAAATCACTTTTAATTTATTAATTTTTCGTTTTTTTTTTTTTTTAGGTGCATGAATATGACTTTAAGATTTTGTTGTTCTTTCCATTGTCATATAGCTTATGCGATTTACACTGATTTTATTTTTTGTTGATAAAGCAAACTGTATTTGTCTTTATAAAATTTTAGTATAGTTTCTTGTAGCAGCTACGTACATATTCTCATATCCAGTAATGAAGCATAATCACTAAACAATTGTCAGAATACTGGTCGTGAATGTTGTACATCGAATAAAACCATGCTAAAATTTTAATGTCACTCATTAGTTTATATATCTAACCCATATCATTTTTAATATTTCATCAACTGATTCAAGCATCGTTCACCTTTATTTTTTAGGTGATAGATTTTCTTTTAATAGACTCCAGAAGCTCGGAAGAATCAGAAGATGGAGATAATGAAGAAACGGACAATCAAAATTTGGCGAATGGAGATACGAAAGGAGAGCCCGAAGCACTGATAGTTTTGGCCGAAGAAGAAATAGTAGCTATCGACTTGAGAGATGAAACATGGAAGATGATCAGTCTACCATATCTGGTGTCTATCCATGCATCTGCTGTTACCTGCACCCACTATGTCTCGGGTAAGAAGATATGGAAGTTTTTATCCATACGAGGGCGGACCGATAAGTACTTACTCGTAGTTTTGTTTTGACCGCGTGTGGAAGCGAACGTGTGAATTTTTAAAAAAAATTAATTTTGAAATTTGGATTAGAAAATTTGAAAAATAATTGGATAATCCGGTAATTTGGAATATGATTGAAAAAAATAGAAATTATGAAAAAAAAAACTGGAAACTTCATAATTTGAAAAAATATACTAAAAATCGAAGCTCTATTTTTGTGGTCATTTTGAGACCATAAATTAAGAAAAGAAATTATAGTTTGAAAAAACTAAAAACACGCTTTAATATCAAATCAAACTCAAAAATAGAAAACAATGTGGTCTCAATTTGTAGGTCTCATACATACCTAGACATTAAATCCAAAAAAAGGTTTTCTCATTATTTGCCGTCTAATAAAAAGTTTTCCAACAAAAATTTGTGTACCCATTTTATGCGTCCATGTTTTAAATACCCCCATGAAGAACTTGCACCAATAAAACCACACTTTACAATTATTTCGAGGAAATTTGCTAATATGATTAGACTATAACTAAGCAGCGTTACTCTGTAAAATCAGATTTGAAGGATAGGCAAGAAGAGATATTGTATTTTTTTGTTTTTTTTTTGTCTGGCGATATGATAAAAACAATTTTTTAGGCATACCAGAAGAGTTGTGGGAGCACATAAAAGATGCAGGCAAAGCCCAAACAGGTCACCTATATTCTGGTCGAAAGTGGCCCATCGATGGCGGCAAGTTGTTATGTCAAAAAGGTGATGCTGCACCACCGAGAGATCTACTGCTAACGGGTCATGAAGATGGAACTGTCCGATTTTGGGATGCAGGTGGTATCACTATGACATGCTTGTATAAATTTGCAACAGCGCAATTCTTCGCAGGAGACGATATTGAAGGTAGATACATGTTTCTAAACCGTACATAAATTCCTCGGATTCTAAGATAAAAGCGGTTCTCTCAAAGGTTTTGCCTCAATTGTTCGTCGTTACGAAACGTTTTTACTAATGCTTTGATTTGACTTGTAGGAACTTCATTATCGTTTGAATATTCCCAATCCGAAAAAAATATTTTTAGATGTTTAGTTCGCTTTATTATCAGCTAAATAAAAGTTTATTTTTAAAAATGCATTTGTTATTTTATTTAAAACTTATTTTTGTTTGCTTGTTTAAGAAGCAAGACTTGCATCTTTAAAAATTTCAACTGTTCAAAAAATGTTCCTTTAATTTTCTTTTAAACATATTTAAATTATAAGTAGACTTTATATCATTGTTTAGTTTATTAAATTCAAGTAATCATTCCTGAAATATTGATTTGATAGTTATATTACTATTGCAATTTTATAAATTGAAATTTCTAGGTTTTTTATACGATAATAACCCAATTGGGAAGGTGATACCATCTAGATGCAAAGTCAATACTTGCAGTCTCAAGACTTCTCTGATCTTACATGAAAAATTTTCCCTCTGATGCACTTACTCAATTAACAAGTTTCTAAGCCTTATCGCTAGAACCATTATTCTTCAGATCTCACATGAAAATTTCTAACAATGAATTTGTATCTCATCTCATCTTACTGTAGTACCATTCAGCCTCGTACCGTTTCTGACATTGTTTCACCTAATAACGTCATTTCCTTAACGAGTCAATCTACTTGACATCATTTTAATGCTGCTTGGTAGGGTGTTTCACACGCCTGCATGGACCACATTTCGCAGACGCTGACGAAATGTATCCTCGTTCGCCCAATATCGTGATTCCAGAACGTGCCAACCTCCTTGACGTTATTTTAATATTGCATGCTGGGAAGTTTCACTCTCCTGTATCTATCACATTTCGTAGACGCTTACTAAATGTATCCGTATTCGCCCAATCACATTATTCCTGTAGTGTCATTTTGTTAATGCATGTTAGGGTGTTTCACCCTCCTACATGGATCGCATTACTCAAACGCTCAAGAAATGGCAATGATTAAAGCTTCTGAAACGGTCAACAACTCTCTCTTTCTCTCTCTTGCCGCCATCACAACTACGTATCAAACAAAGTGAACTTTGACAGAGGCAATCGTGTACGGTCCTCACTCTGTATGCGCTAAGTGAGAATATATTCTGAAAGGTCCTCACTTTGTTTGTTATAAGTGTTTCAATATACGGACCTCGTTATATTAGGAGCACCTCACTTTGTCCGATATACAAGTCATAAATTTAAAATAGTTTTTTCGTGCATACTTGCCACTTTTTGATATAACAGTGGCGTACTACCAGATTTGTAGCTGCATTCCTTCTGGTGGTCCTCACTTTGTATGGTATACAGTCGGTCCTCACATTGAGTGACAGCCAAAAAAAAATATATTTATATATATATATATATATATATATATATACCCAAACATTTAATTGATTCAACTTTTTCGATTATTTCACTATTTATCCTATGATTAAATTATTTACCAATATTTTATTTCAGAAGCGTTTACCATGATTTTTGTTTATTTTTATATAGGTACAATGTTGACTATTCGTATTTAGGAGAAGAGATTGATGAGCGGTGCCGTATTTCTAAAATTTTCTGCTTTTGTAGAGGTGCATCCAGACGCCGAGGATATGGAAGAAGAATGGCCGCCTTTCCGTAAAGTCGGCATTTTCGACCCATATTCCGACGACCCCCGATTTGCCATCAAGAAGGTCGTTCTGTGCCCGCTGTCCGGAACTCTGGTGGTAGCTGGTACTGCAGGACAGATCGTCATCGCCAAATTCGATACAGAAGTGTTAGACGGACCTTTGAAATTGGCATCGATGAACATCGTTAATGACAGAGACGGATTCGTGTGGAAGGGGCATAGTCAGCTGGCACCAAAACAAGGTATGTTTGCTTTACAATGAGGTTGTTTTTATGTTTGATCGAACTCATTAGTTTCTAGGAAGTTGAGGCTGTTTTTCCCATAGAATTTTTATGATCGAGGGCTCTTGTCAACCTACACTTACCTGCATATTTTGACGGAAATGGTCTGACATTCTTATGAAGCCAGATATTATATTGGAGATTTGAAAATAACGCGTTTCGGTTTATATTGGTGGCAGTCGAAAAACGCTCCTTAAGCTAAGTGGATCATGTTCACAATAATCGACTATGTGAATAATGAAGATACAACTGCCAAATTACAACGAGAAATTGAAGATCGAAAAATAATAATTGAAGCATGAAAAGCTATTAAAAACCTTGGGGAAAGTTCTGGATTGTGTGGAGCCACCTATCATTTCATGAAATGTTATCTCAGAAGACAGAAAACAATGTGTGAACATTAACAGTACAATAAGTGTGATTATTGCAGTTAGATGCGGAGTTCCACAAGGAACAGTATTAGGACCAATCCTGTTGTTTCTATTTATTAAAATTGTAGAGTTATCTGGCCTGATAAAACGAAATACCTAAGTTAATGGGAACGTTTTCTTTCCAGGCAATATCCACCAGCCACGGGGCTTCCAAGCGACATCTGTTCTTCAACTGCACCCCCCAGCAGCTGTCACGTGTTGTGTTCTGCAAGCTGATTGGGGCTTAGTTGCTGCCGGAACCGCACATGGATTGGCTCTTCTTGATTACGTCAAAAATAAACCAGTCATGGTCAAATGTACGCTTAACCCTAATGGTAAGTACCACTATGGGTGGTATAATAATTGTTTCAAAAAATGATCAGGATCATCTGAATCGTCAAAAAACAGCGTTTTCACGATTTTTATTTGTTTCGTGTTGGGCCTTTTTCTCCGCCGTCACTGGACAAGTTTTTAGAAACTACAAAACTTTTTCGTCCTTGGAGTCGTAGTAACCTTGTGTAAAAATTTCACCCAAATCCTAGTAGCACTTGCCAAGTTTTAGATGGGTGGAGTATTTCTAGGTATATTAAATAATGATCGATTAAGATTATTTTTTTTCTTATATTCGGCTTCCAATAATCAATTTTTTTATCCATAATAGTAATAAATCTATTATATAAAGTAGCTATCTTAATCGATTTTTGTAAACACCACCTTCTGTGCGATAGATACAAAAACTTAAAGTAAGTTCACTAATATGAACAAGTCGCTAAAAACGGCGTAACATGTATGTATCTATTTGATTTCTATTCTGATAAATTGTTAAGGTCAATGTCTTAATTTTATTATTACTATACAATGTCCCGTGTAGAACTGTTGCAATCGATTACTCAAAAATTTGACGTAAGACATTATATAAATTAACCACAATTCTTTTTGAAGACCCCCTTAGCAAAACGATTGGCTGCAGTGTATTTTATTTTCAAAACCCTTAAAATCATCCAACAATTTCATCTCATAAGTTCATATTGTCACACATGGGATGCATTGCGAAATAATCCATAAAAATTAATTATTTCAAGTAAACCAAAATTGCATCCTATGTGGCACACACTGGTATAACTTTGTAATCAATAAAAATAAAACAATGTGTTTGCTAGACATTGTGATCAAAAAAGTGATATTAAGTTAATCGTTATGCCTTTGGTGGTGAATCTCTAACCTATACCAAGTATTTTGATAAAACACAGAATCTTGGCAATGAATTACCATATTGTCACACATGGGATGCGTTGTGAAATAATTCATAACAATTATTTCAAATAGGCTAACATAACATCCTATATGTGCCATCGTGTTTGGAAATTCACGAAAACTCAAAAACAAGGACTGAACTCGCATGGCCTACATTACTCAATTAGTTTTTAATCCTTGTTTTCATTTATAGTTGTGCCTCCTCATTCCTTGTTTTTGAGTTTTCGTGAATTTCTAAACACGATGGTACACATAGGATGGTATGTTAGCCTATTTGAAATAATTGTTATGAATTATTTCACAACGCATCCCATGTGTTATATGGTTACTTATTGCCAAGATTCTGTGCTTTATCAAAATACTTGGTATATGTTAGAGATTCACCACCAACGGCATTACTATTAACTTATATCACTTACTGGATTTTTGATCAAAATGTCTAGCAAACACATTATTTCATTTTTATTGATCACAAAATTATACCAGTGCTCACATGCTGAGTTTTTGACTGTTGACAATCTGGCTTAAACTTTCCATTTTTTTTTATCTATAGAGCTGTTACAACCGGTTTCGTGCTGTAATTTCTCGATTGCTACAATCTACTGGATCCATCATTCTCTTTTCCAGACTTGACCGGAGCAGGTGACACCCCGATCTCCCGGCGCAAATCCTTCAAAAAGTCCCTCCGCGAGTCCTTCCGCAGACTGCGCAAAGGTCGGTCGCAACGCAGGGCGGCCGGTGACAAGCCCCCCGTTGCAGCCTCCTCCCCCGTGGTCTCTCCGCCCGCGAAAAAGTCCCCCCAAGCGGCACAGGAGTTCGGAGTGGAGCCTAAACCGGTAGAGAGGCAGATTGAAGCGAGGCCGTGTGATGACGCTATGGGATCGTTCGTCAGATGTTTATACTTCGCTAGGACGTTCCTAGTTAGCGGTAAGTGAAGAATTAGGATTTATATATCGCATGTTCGGAAGAAAATTGGCTTAAGCCAAAAAGCTCCGTTGTTGGGAAAACGCGATTTCAAAGTCTTATTATATTATTGCTGCAATTTTTCTGCAGTGTTTGTTGAAGATTTCATTATCATTAATGCTTCAACGTCAAATTTGTATAATTATTCGCTTACACATTTATTGAATCAATTTTCTATAATTTTACATCCTTGTTTATTCAAATTAAATCGCTATGAATTTTGAGTATTCATAAAATAATTTTTTAATTTCACCTTAAACATTTTTAAATTCGAACAATGTTTAATATCATTATTCAATTTATGAAATTCAAATACTGCTTTTTGAAATCTAGTTTTGCTAGTTATGCTACTGTTACAATTTTGAAGATGAAAATCTCTCCTCTAGTTTCGTAGTTATCAGTTTTCTATATGAGGTCGTAATAAATTATTTTTTAATTTGAATGTGAAAATGAGAACTAAATAAGATATATTTTTTTTACATTCAACCACTGTAGTCCTAACATAGACTTCATCCTAGCACAGGCCTCTCCAACTCGAGCACTTGGTGCGGGTGCGCTCCGGTGCTGAATGCAGCGGCACAGGTGCCGTTCCCCCTCCACCTTGACCGCACCGCCGTCTCGACAGAGATAAATATATTAGCGAACTGTCTCTCGAGCGCGGGCCATTTCTTATTAGGATAAGACAAAGTGGACAGGTCTCAACCTGCATATTTTTTTAAACGATGTCGTTCAATCCTGCTTGGGAAGAAGCCTATTTTTTGTAAATACTGATGGAAAAGCACAATGTTTAATTTGTCACACCGTAGTTAACGTTAAGTCATCGACTATTCGCCGACATTATGTAAACAAAATTGCTACGGATTATGATGACATTACTGGTGATGCAAGACGAGTGCGGATTGATGAATTGAGGCCAGCCCTTCTAAGTTCTGATGAGGTAATTATTAATTTGCTCGTGATGGATTATTATTAATGGTCTCGAATCCAAGGCTTTGTGTTTATTTTATTGATAAAGACTAAATATGTTTGTCTATATGTCTGATTCTGCGTTACATTTTGTGGAGTTCATGTTCTCTCTCTCTCTCGTATATAGTTTCCAGATTTCAAACTGTTCTTCTAAATTTGAGAGCCCTTCGAATATTTCCATTACATTTTAGTACAGTTAAAAAAAACAATGCCCAAACTCATATTTCGATTCGTTATTCCTCAGGTACTCAAACCCAATGCTACGGAAAGCATTGTTCGTGCAAGCTACATTGTTGCTTTGAACATCGCCAAAAGTGGAAGACCTTTTACTGACGGTGCATTTGTCAAAGAATCTTTAGTAGAGTGTGCAGAAATATTGTGTCCGTCTGTTGTAAGCAACTTTGAGGCAATCAGTATGTCCGAGCAAACAATTTCTCGTCGGATACTTGAAATTGGTGCAGATCTAAAAGAACAACTGCGGGAAAAATGTGCCCATTTTGTTTATAGCTCTCGATGAAAGTAAAGACATTTCTGACACAGCACAATTAGCTGTTTTCGTTAGAGGTGTCGAAACAGACTTTACTATCCCCCAAGAACTACTAGATTTTATCCCGCTCAAAGATACAACGACTAGAGAAGATATGACTTTGCCTATCACCCGGTTTCGGCTTGACGTCGACTTCTGGGACACCCTGTATAATGAATAGTATCGGCCCTAATTTACTCCTCTCTGTGGCACCCCTACTGATATATTTTGAACGCTTGACATACAATCTACTTCTATTTATTAAATAATTTTGTAAAATGTTGCACGCATGAAATTGAAAAAATATATTCGTACTCTTTCAATCGTCCTTAAAAACAATAATTATCAACTAATGATAGAATCCTCCAAAAATTAAAACCAATTTTTAAATGCGACATTTTTTTTCTCTAACTAAAACACCGTTCTAACTGTTCAAAGCCTAATTTATTACCCTTATATATATATAACTTGAGACGTGGTCTTTGTCGTCTAGACCAGTTAGGTGAAAAATTAAAGCTTCCGCCTTTTGTTGGGTACTTCGACAAAATTTAAGCAAAGAGGACTCTTTATACTTTTTTAATTCTCTCTAGCTTTCAATGGACTTTGCCATCATCATCAGGAGAGTAGTATGTATAGTTGAAGTGGCTTCACGATGTAATGCTCTAATGTTTTTTAAATAATTTTTAATCTGTTTTTAACTTGTTCTTGTCATATTTTATATAATTTTGACCATTGTACCATCTATCCAGCTCTCACCATGTTACTGGACGTTTCCCTCATCCTATACGTAAACAACAATTAGCAACATCCTCACATACTACTCTTCTGATGATGATTGCAAAGTCCATTGAAAGCTAGAGAGAATTAAAAAAGTAATTTAAATTTTCTGCTTAAATTTTGTCGAAGTACCCAACAAAAGGCGGAAGCTTTAATTTTTCACCTATATATATATATATATATATATATAGGTGAGATATATAATATTATATATATATAATATTTGTTTGTTTGAAACACCTGTTCCACGATATGTATAAAATGCATTCAAACATAGCTTTCAGATGAAGGTTAAAACTAGGTGAGTATTATTTTTAGATCTGTAAGTTTCATTACGTAATATTCAAATCAATTTTTTACAAAGTGTTCTCTTCCGCAGCTTCATAATGGGGCAACGGTTTGCATCTGACATTCTCACTGTTTTCACTTTTATCTATTAACAAAAAGTAGCAAACCTTACCCTCCAATGGTTACTCGCCACCGCAAATAGTTTTTCCACGCCATGTCTTTGAATATGACCGTACTTCTCCATCAACTTTGGGAAAAAATATTCTCTGACGTGGCAGTTTTGACACAAAATGTATGGTCACGTTCTATAAGTATTCGGAATAAAATACAAATCCTTTTTCAGGATCCCTTCATCAGAAAGATTTCAAATACGGTCTCAGCAAATTACATATGTAGCGTACAAGTAAATAACAGGGAGTGTCCTAATGAACTGATTTTGAGAAAAATGCATTTAGAACTTTGAAAGTATATTATTTTTATGTATGCAGTATCTTAGAACTATTTAAATGTTTTATATCTAATATAATTTTGTTGTTGACGTTGGACCTTTTAGTTATTAAACATATTTAAAATGAACAAAAACCAGATGAAACATTTTGAAACAAGTTAAAAAAAGGGAATGTCCAATTTAGTTATCAGAATATTTGGTTTTTGAATAATAATTTAGTTTCCTACAGTCTTTCAAACTCAATCTTCCTTTAAATGAGTTAATATGATTAAAATCTTTTTCATTAATCTCTGATGCATTTTTTCACGATTTTAATGCTACTGGAGCTTTCTCTGTTGTTTTTATGCTTTTTTTGTAGATATTCACCCTTTTCTTTGATAATTCCATGAAGTGCAATGAATGCTAAACATACAAGCACCTCTTTTATAACATTATTGTTATCTTCATCTTTTACCCGCACTTTATAGCTGCATAAAAATTAGTCTCATCTTCAAACTTCCTGCTTCTTCTTCGTTTCACATTATAAACATTTATAAGCCCTGACCAATAGAAGTTCTGTTCGCTGACACTTCCCAATGAATTGAAATATTTAATAATATTTCTTTATGTCCATTTATATTTTCAAAACTTTGAACGTTGAACAATTACACGGTGCCCCTTGTTCATGAGAATAAAGTCGCAACTTTTTCATTACATCTTCGGTTCTACCAGTTTTCTTTCTTGTCTTTGTTGATTTGTTAATAGTAATCTGATTATTTTCATTATTATCTGAATTATTATACCGCAAACTTTATATAAATTCTAATCTTAAAATTACAACTCTCATTTTGGAGAATCCTTCTTCTTTGCCGGTGTGACATGGACGTTCCCAGTTCTTTTCTTCATATGAAGTACAATGTCTGGAAATCGTCTAACACCACAATTATCTGCAGACACTCACAAATTTAAAAAATAACATTAAAACTACGAATTTATTGACAGAACTTTCAAAAAATTGATTAAGTTGATTGATCCTCACTACTGACTACGAGAATAAGGAGACAAATAAACCCTTGACTGGCTCCTTCTATCTAGTTTGAATTCGTTGATCGCTAATGATCTTACAAAATTTACTAAGCCCTCGAAATTTTATTATCATTTGAAAAATGTTTCAGATCTTAAAAAATGGAATTTTGTCTATGTGGAGAGTGTCCCATTGGGTGCGCAACAAAGTTGGCTCAACTTTTAACCAATGGTTGAGTTCAAAATGACTAATGACAGAAAAAAAAATAATTTTGAAATTTAGTCGTTAGAATATGCAAAAAGGTGTTTTCAGGTCAAGTTGATATCTGTAAAAACTATTTTATAGACAAACAGTTTCCTTAATCAACTCGTACATTTTTGACACCACTTGAAAATGCACTATTTTTTGTCGTTCTAGTGCAAAACACGAATCCAACATTGTGGGCCGGAACGAACAATGGAACAGTGTACGCGTTCACCATAACGGTGCCGTCATCTTCGAAACGAGATACGGATGACGTAGTTTGCCATCTGGCCAAGGAGATACAACTGAAGCATAGAGCGCCTGTGATAGCGATAGCTGTATTGGATGGTGCCAATCGACCGTTACCAGAACCCCTTGAGGTAATAAATTAAAAAGTGGGGTTGAATCTCCGAGAGAGACGGCATACATGTGTCTGAAAAATTAAGTTCAGACGATGTAATCTCCTGTTATACAAATAGTTCAATGAACGTTACCTTTCCTTCCAGGTGGAAAAGGGTGTATCACCTCTTCCAGATACGACGCAAGCACATAGGGTGATCATAGCCTCAGAGGAACAGTTCAAAATATTCACGCTGCCCTCTCTTAAACCGTTCTGTAAATATAAACTCACTGCTCACGAAGGTAAATACTTTTAATGTTACTCATATTTATGAAACTGAACAGTCGCACAAATTTATCTATTTTTACTGCTCATACTTTTAGTTGAGTTCCACTTTTCTAAACGAGTTAAGACAAATACTTTTGGCTTTTTTCTATTTTAATTTTGAATTATCATTTAGTCATGTTTGTTGTTATTTTTTTACAGGAGCAAGGGTGAGACGAATGTCATTCGCGACGTTCACTTGTACAGTAGACAATACGCAACATTCCGAAGTAGATCTTCTATGTCTGACAAATATGGGCGATTGTCTAGTTCTGAGCATTCCAGATTTGAAGAGACAACTTAATGCGGCGGCTATCAAGAGGGAAGACATCAAGTAAGTACATGTGTTGACCAGTACTTTAGTTGTAAGTTGTCGAATAGAAAATAAACGAAATATATATTTTTATATGGGTAAACACCAGTACCGCATGACGTCACGCGGAGAGTGATTATCATTTGGGTTGATATGGATAACGTGCATACAGGCCAAACGGCTGAACGGATTTTCACATATGAAGTGTCGTTGGATTCGTCTTAGCGGAGCGAGTGACACTAGATACATTAAAATTTTATACAAAACAAAATGGCGGATTTAAATAAAAGATTTCAACCTTGTAATTTCTATCTCACAGGTTGTAGCTTAAACGGCTTTCTAGCCCACAATAGAGCGTGCATCGTCACTTTACTGTAAAAACAAGATTTTTCTACATTACCTATATTTTAGTATGTTCTGCGGAGCAGGATTAACATGCTCATAACGTTAATACTGCACTACATTTATTCATCCTTATTTCACCAGAACATCCTAAGTACTAACTACAACTACAATTGTAGGGCACCTTTATGGCCTTCTTGATTGTCATAGTTTTCTATTTTTCCATGTCAGTGCTCTATTTTGAGGTTATGTCACAAACATCTATTTGCATCAAATTGTGCTTGCTTTTGAGTTATATCATGTTTTATCAGCCTGAAATTTCCTACAATTTAAAAGGAAAACATATCTTCACAATAGGAGAGCACTGACGCTGACACGGGACAAGTGTAGGAGGAAATAAACGCGCCCTACAATAATTGTAGGGACGACTGACGATCAATTGTAGGGACGACTGATGATACGGGCCTAAGTTTCATTTGAGGAACTTTTCAACCTCTCATCCTACAATTTATGGCAAACAAAGCCGGCCAATTTTTTCAGCCCATCATACTCGAGCTCATCCATTTCTTCCACCAAAACTTCCTCGTCATAGTCAGCTGATGCTTCAGGTGCATTCAGTTTATTCGTTAATGATGCAGTTAGTGGAATTTTCGGAGTATCCTCTTCCTCTACGTTGCAATACTCTGAGTGCGTCTTCGTTTCGCCCCAAAATATATGACCTTATTCTATACTTGAACTCTAGGGGATAAGTTGAGCCCTTTGCCTTTTTTCGTAAGCACTTTTCCGCTTTTCCCCATAAACAGATGTAGATGGTCCAGGTGATGATAGAGACTTGGGTAAATTTTTCATAGGAATGGCATAATCTTTTAGAGCACGGTAACGTTTAGGGGTGTAAGCCAAAAAGGTATGTTTTTAATTGACCTTATAGACACTTTCACAAAAATGCTTCGATCAAGCCCTAGCGATTTTTACATTGACTTTGCCTTTTCTTTTTGTAAGTTGATGCCATTTTTTGCTAAGGTTTGGGTCTTGAGGAAATCTGTAGAACTTCATGTCTTTGCAAGTATTCCGTTTAGACTGGTTGTCGGAATTACATTCCACAGAAGCACACCGCATTTTTAACAATTTATCAACCACACAGGCTATATAAAGTATGTATAACTAATAGAACAGGTCACAAAGCCACCAAAAAACACCAACAAATCGCACTATATAGTATTAACCACGATACACGTGAACTGCAGTAACGTAACGACAATCCTGCCGCTGGTAACCATGAGCCGACAACTCTCCGGGTGACGTCACGAAGCTCCGCCCACATGCGCAATATCCTATCTTCAGTGGCGGGTCATATCTCAGAACGAGCTCAATTTTTAGTCCTGGCGAGTACCTATGGATGCATGAGGCTTTGCGAAATTTCAGGATCGTAAGTCGAACAGTTCGGTCTGGAGACGCACTCAAAGTGTGGAGGTTCGGCAAAAATGTAAATTATAACGTTTTGGCTTTTCCTTTTTCTAGCTACTCTTGTCATTGGAAAGCATTAGGCCCCATAATATGTGGCTCTCGAAGGAAATCAAACATGACGTACAAATTCCGATGTGATGATTCGTCCAGCAGATGCAGTAGCAGACAAAAGTTTGGAAACATTCTTAGTAATTTTTAAAAAGCTAATTGTTTATTCTTTATTAATAAGGACTAGTTACAGTCTTGAGGATACAAATGACAATTTGTGTTTGCTGTGGTACTACAGACTAGCATTAAAATACCTTCATATTATTTTATGACCGAAAATGAGACGACAAAAGTATGGAAACATATTTTTTATTACAAAATTAACTGCACTAACTCTACAAAAAGATGTAAAAAATACTGCTTTACTAATATTTGGTAACATAGCCTTTAGCATTCAACACTGCCTGACATTTGCTGCTCATAGAAGACGTCTGTTGGGATATTTTCAAAAATATTTTTTACATAAACAAATAAATCGTTCCTATTTTTAAAATTTTGTCTTGTCAGTATCTTTTAACATGCTCCAAGAGACGTTCTTTACGAGTTAAATCCGGGGATTGCCAAGGCCATGTAAGAACATTAACATTTTTTAGTCTTAGCCAGTCCTTTACGAATTTTAAGGCATACTTAGGGTCAGTATCTTGCTGAAATGTCCATCGTGTAAAGGCATTTCTGCTTCAGCAAAAGGGAGAATGCGTTCATTAAGAATAACTTTGTAAAGTTTTTATCCATTTTCTCAACAATTTTAACAATTGGACCTGTTCCAGAACTAGAAAAACAGCCCCAAACCATGATGTTGGTTCCACCGTGCTTAACTGTTGACAACTGATACTTTTTGTCGAATCTTTTTCGTATTACGTCTCACATATGCCGTACCGTCAGAACCAAATAAGTTGCTTTCATCGCTCCACAAAACTGTAGTTTTTTTTAATGAGAGGCTTTTGCACTGGACGCCTAATAAAAAGCCTAAAATCCACCAAGCATCTCTGCACTGTTCTGACAGAAAGATTCTTGGCACCCTCTTCTACGATTCTTTTGAAAATCTGAGTGGCTGGCATTCGAGGATCTTCATGGGGCAAACGTTTAATGTAGCGATCAAAAACATAATCAGTTTTTTTTTCGGTCTTTGAGAGATGTCAACATTTCTGACACCACTTCTAAATAATTCAATTACTTTGTCTCTTAAACCTTTTGAATATTCTTTTACTTTTGCCATTCTGATGTTAATATTTACCACACGCAATATCAGAGTTTCGCAGATCAAATAAGTATGGCAAAACTGAAATGCTTCCATGCTTTTGTCAACTGTCGTAATTAAAAACAGAATTTGAATATTGATAAGATAAACCTTGGTATTACGGGAGCCAAAGGTAGACTTTAATATTTATATTATCTGTTCCTTCACAATTTTACTTTAGGTATATGAAGTAGTTCAGAATAATGTAAATATTTGTTTCCAAATTTTTGTCCGCTACTGTATTTTAGTCTGAAGTGGTTTTTCGAAATTTTTCAATAGTTTAGTGACTTTAATATTTATATTACGAGTATCTGTTCATTCACAATTTTACTTTAGGTATATGAATTAGTTCATAATAATGTAAATATTTGTTTCCAAATGTTTGACCGCTACTGTATTTTAATCTGAAGTGGTTTTTCGAAATTTTTCAATAATTTAGTGTGCTGACCATTCGGATGCCATTTGAATCGAAAAATTCACCAAATTAATGTTTCTCTTAAAGGAGAGAGACCAGCCTAACCGCCTACATAAATGGAATTTTGTCACTCTGAATTCCTGCATGTAGAGTGATGCTATCATCAACAAAGCAGTGGATCGGAGGTCGTTGATATGTAAGAGGAACAGTGTCGGAGCAAAGGCCGACCCCTGGGGAAGACCCGCGGAATTGTGGATTGAAGATGAGAAATCGTCAATTACGACGGAAATCTTGCGGCCAACAACTATTTTACATGTTTTTTACAAGACGGACGCAGGCATAAAATAATCAACATGATATAGACATGTGGTTCAAAATCCCCATCTGCAAACCTTCTCTGGGAGGCCATAGGACGGAAGTTTGCACAACACTTTGCACGCCACACGATAAATTCAATATTTATATCTGTCTTCGATTTTCTTGTATGTTCGCGTCAAATTTGCTTTTCTTTCCAGCGGCATTTCCTCTTTGGTCTTCACTAAAGACGCCCAAGCCCTATACCTGCACTCTTCATCCGAATTGCAACGCGTATCGCTGTCGGCGACCAACATCACGATGGCGCGTTGTTACTTGCCGCTACCAGAGGGCGTTGTCGCGGGGGACCAAGACGATGAAGCCGGCGAAGAGAGAGGAATTGATGTGTCGGGGGACGGGCACCAACAGATCATGGTGAACGGCAACGCGAGTGGTAGTGTAGGAAGCGTCAATGATAAGGTAAGGATAAGAAAGTCACTGATTTGGGTATTGGGAATGTTTATACGGGTTAGGACTTTCTTTACAAGGCGTTTATGGTGAGCGTCTTCAAAATGCTATCGAGGCTTATCATTCAAGGTCGCGTAAATTTGTTTACCTTGAGCAGATAGCTTGGGATACAGGCCGTTTTGCAGCAGTGTCGAGGTGGGCACAGTGGGAGAGTGGGAGAGCTAGACAACGCCGAATGGTGCAAACTGAGGCATGAGTATTGGATCTTGTGCAAGTCTCCAAGACGTGGTTAACTCTGTGTGATGATGGATTGTACTCTTTTGTACAAGCCCTCCAAGCTAAGGATTTTTTTGCAAGAATAGGTGTTTGTGAATGATTGTTGCAGTCCATATTAGTCTGGGACGAATCAACCTTCACGCGTAATGGGATTAATGACTTCCACAATATTCATGTGTGATCACTGGAAAATCCCCACGCAGTGGGTCATATTTTCAACAAACATTTTCTTTGAATATTTGGGCATGGTTAAATAGTATGCTCATTGAACCTTTTATTTTCCCGAATCATTTGGCGGGTTTACAATACCTAGACTTTTACGACACATTTTACCAAGAACGACAAATTAACGGTACTTATAAGTGACAGAGCCGTACCTGAAATTTCTCTTTATTTCAAGCGTAGTGGTTCCTGACATGTTAAGTCCAAACTTTCAGGACACCCTGTATACAGACTGTTTCCGTAATTGAATATCGTTATTAAAGGGGTCGATTTTTAGGGCCCTTTTAAGAAGAAAACTTCATATGAACATATGTCCTAAACACCTTTACTTTTAAGATACCGGCTGGTGGTATTTTTTCAAAAATAAATCATTTGGCAGGCGACTGACCTTTCATAAAATACAAAAACTAAAATCTCTATATTCATTTATGAGCAGATTTGATCTCTTGACGCACGGTTTTCATCTAAAAAAACATCAGAGAAACTTATCTATTAAGCATAGTTGAAAACATGTTATAATGGTATACTAAAAAAATACGTGTCTGGCATAATGGACGTGTTGCTGGAATCCCGAAAATATGCTTGGATAGTTAATTTGTTAAGTAGGGTAGGGGGATATTTGAAAAGCACCTTTATGATCATATTCTATTGATACCCGGAATAAAAATCAAATCCTACATCCCATTCTCAAATAGTGCGTAACTACGAAAAGCGTCAGCTGTGCCGGGTAAAGATGATAATCTATATGATTCCATTTCATTTCAGTCTGACGACCATCGCTCCTCCAACGGCGTCATGGACACCACCACCGAAGCGCCATCTCTGAACGCTCACAACGCCACCATGTCTAGCTCCGCGGGCGACATCACTATAGACTCCGTCAAAGATCATCTCGGCGGATCAGGTGAGGACATTGCGAAACGATTGGCAGGCATCACCTCCTTAACGGTCACTAAGACCACCACAATGATCGGTAATAGTAGTAGCGCGGTGCATACACAGGAGTCCAGCAGTGTTGTCACGTCTACGCAGGTTGTCGCTATCGGCAATGGAGAAGAGATGCAGGAAGACAGTGAGTGTTGCTAGCAGTGTTTTGTTTCGTTCGGGGATTGAAACGAGAAGCGGTATGACTTCATAAAAAATGCTAATAACACATTTTTGTACGAGAATTTTAAAAAAAATTCGGAGTAGACCACCTTCTTTAAAGGCCTCGCAAAAATGTTTTTCTCCAGGCCTTGCATCTGATAAGGACCGCTGTGCGCTTGGCTATTGAAATTATTCCAAATGACAGTAGAATTTTTTAACATCTCTGTGGGTACATTTGGGGTAACGTAAAAAATTCCCAGTATTCAACATGTGCTATACAGACTCTCTGAAATGAATCTACAGTGTATTGAATCTTATTTAACCGAATAGCAATCAAACTCGCTCGCTTCTATTGGCTAGCGGGTAATAAATGCCTGGGCAGACAGCGACAAGCGGGAAGAAGCGACGATGAAGTGCTCATGTTTGTTTTGAACTGGGGTGAGGTTTGAATGGACTGTTCCTCTACGAATTTTTAGTTTGATCTGGGCTGAAAATGCGTGAAAATATTTTTTATGAATAAAGTTAATGTATACAAGCTGTGCTTGAGATCTCTTTACACATTTTCAGTCTCCTTCGTCCGAAAACAATGATAAGAATTTTTCAAAAATTGTATACCTCTGCAACCCGACAACCCTCACGATTCAGGTCTAGCAAGCTGGTTTTTACACTAAGATACAGTAATATACGATATCATTTTCTTGGAAAAAAAAATGGCAAAATTGAGCATCTGGAGGGGGGGATTTTTGATTTCAATATACTATAATATTTGTTTTATCTAAAAGATATTTAAAAACGCACAACATAGTTTTTTGCTACATATTTGTCTAAAAGTCCGTTATTCTTATAAAACTCTACTACGACTTATTTGGAATTTGGAACTCAGTTTTTTATAAAACAACCACGTTAACCGGATGTCAATATAAGTCACTTTGTTCTGGGAAATTTAGATCAATTTTGTCTTTGCTTACGAAAGATTACGAAAAATAAAACGCTTCTTCTATAAAAGAGATTGGCGCTTCTCGTTCCAATCACAAGCTTTTGAGTTTTTGTTTGACATATCTGGATCATAGAATAAGATTTTATATATAATTTTTTATCGCGGGTCATTGGATGGATCAAAATTTTAATCTTGATGCATGTGAACTGACCTATGGTCCAAATATGTGTGATCTTGTTAGCATCATTTACTGGAAACTTACAACACTTAATGAGTTACATCAACATTGTTCAATATTGTAAATAAAATTTAGAGGAAATGCAAAAGTTACACAATCCATTTTTATTCAACCATAATAAATATCAGGAAGAATTTAGGCATACAAGAAGTTCAGTTTATGGATTACACTTTCATTTCATCTCAAAATACAGTCTACTCATATTAGACGAAAATACCTCTGATTTGCGAATAAATAAAGTCTGCTTTTATTGCTGCAAGTTGTTCAAGGTTCTATTCAAAACATGGAAGCATAAAATGGGTACACCAATTTTTGTGGGAAAATTTTTTATTCGACAACAAAGAATGAGAAAACGTGTTTTTTGGGATTCAATCGAAAGTGTTGACAGGAACGAAAAAACTCTTCATATAAGATTTTTAGGTGTTTATGAGGCCTACAAAATGAGATGACACGTAAAAAGATCCGACTAATAGCAAAAAAGTTATGGCCGAAAACCGAGGCAAACTGCAGGTTTTGGCACTTGTTGGTAATGCGACGATGTTTTCTGGCAGATATTTGAAATTCTTCAAATTCGTAGGATTCTAAATAACCACAACAAAATTGGAGTAGATTGGTCAAGTAGTTTTTGAGGATTTCTTACTGCTTATCCCAAAACACGTGTTTTCTGGCCATCACTACTAGTTTAACGAACAAAATACAGGGTTAATTCAAAGTGCATTTTATAGCAGAATACACTAGTTTACCTGGCCGATATGAATCGCAAACCATTTCGGAAGATAAATCTTATTTTTCTAAAAAAAAGGATGGGTTACGTTTTTTTTTTTTCTAAACAAATTCAAACATGTATTTGTGAGTAATTCGCAACAAAAGTTGATAGAAACATCTGCTTTGTTTTAAAATGTGTATAGTAACGTATGTTTTTCGAATATCGTAGCGCATTTGTTCAATTACTCATAAATACGAAATGTTTGAATTTATTTAGAAGAAAAAAACGTAACCTTTGTTTTTCGCATAAAATAACATTCATCTTTCGGAATGGTTTGTGATTCATATCGGCAAGGTAAACACGTGTATTTTGCTATTAAGTGTTATTTGAACGAACCCTGTATATTGCTCAATAAACTAGTGATGGCCGGAGAACAGGTGTTTTAGGACAGAAAATTAGAAATTCTCAAAAAACTATTCGACCAATATAATCCAATTTTGTTGTTGTTATTATATATGAAGAATTTCAAGTAGTTGCGTCCGGGGATGATTGATGCTCAATGAGGCAATACAAATATCCGTCACCACCGCGAAATTATCGTCACATTATCAACAAGTGCCAAAACTGCATTGTGCCTCGTTTTTCGGCCATAACATTGTTCCAGTTAGTCGGATCTTCTTACATGTGGTCTCATAAATACCTAAAAATCTTATACGAATAGTTTTTTCGTGTCTGTCAACACTTTCGTTTGAATCCCAAAAATCACGTTTTCTCATTCTTTGTTGTCAAATAAAAAGTTTTCCCACAAAGATTGGTGTACCAATTTTATGCATCCATGTTTTAAATACCCCCTTGAACAACTTGCACCAATAAAACCAGTCTTTACAATTATTTCCGGGAAATTTTCTAATATGATTAGACTAATAAGTATCATGGTGATGACCCTTGTAATGATGTTCTTGCTTCAGTTTCCATTAGATGATACTCTGTTGCTATTCTCTTTGCTTTTGGTATTTGTGCATTATGCTCTAGCATGTTCATTTTCACTTCATAAGAATGACAATTTATAATATAACCGAAACCTGAAACATATCTAACTTCCATCCTTTTGACAAAATTGAGTTACTCCAATCACATATACTCTCTGTTTGAGTCGATATTGAAATTTGTGCGGTTTGTTTTAAACTTTTGTTAAATTGCTTACATGCTGATTTGTCTTTTGTCTGGCATTTTCTTTGACGTTTTATGCTTTAAATGTGTTTTTATCGCTTTTGTAGTTATAGAAAATATGAAGGACGGATCTGGAGCAAACTTAGAGGTTAGCCTTTTTTCTCATTACTACATTCCTATATAATAACATTCTTTTGTTTTAACTCGTAGATTTGCGCAAATAACCATCTAACAACAAGGTAAGGATCTTAGCCTCTTAACTACATATAGTTTACAACCTAAACCATATAAAGCAAATCACAATACAATACAGGCAAAGTTGGAATAGCAGAGGCTTTTTCAAAAACCACATTCATATTTTTTTCAAAAACCGATAAATTTTTTAAAGTTGCAGCAAACCTAAAATAAATGTTTCTCATCGTTCTGTTTATCGTAAACATAGATTAACATTATTTGAAAAGGCCCTCTTTACAATTGCCTAAAACTTTTCAACCATTCGCCAGCAGTTGTGAAAAAGATTGTAAAAATAAGTGTGATATACAATCGATTACTTTTTTAAGACAGATTTGAATAATATGCTTCATAGCAAGATTTTATCGTTAATTTTGTTTGGTTGACGCAATTTGTATTACAAGTGGCTTATAGATGTTGTCTAGCATTTAAATTCGCAAATAAAAAATTACTCATATTGTTATTTTGCTATTACAACTTTGCATCTATAAGTGCTTGTGATCAGCTTTATCTATAATGGTGTCTGTAGCCAAACTTCAAAACTAACAAAAGTGAACATTTCGTAGGGTTACTGCAAGAATCAGGTAACTCCTGAAACAAATTTTTATTAATTGGCATTTTCATGTTTGACAATACCTCAGAAATCGAGTCGGAAACTGGGGGTTACATTGGCGTCAAGATCTTATTCAAATACGAAATTAGATTACAAGAAAACTTGAACTAAAGAGTTCTAGTAATATAGCTTGCGTTCATCCGACTTCAGGACAGGGGTTTCGTGCTCTTTGGCATCTCTCAGAATGGTGTAGGTTTGGTCTCTATGGACAACCAATGAAAGCTAAGCAACTATCCTCTTTCCAGAGTATAAGGCCTATCGGCACTACCATCTGTTACCAAAATCGGCTACTGCAAAAGTGAAAACAGGAAGGTGTCTGTTAGAACTGTGTCTCTGTTCGCATTGTGATCCGGGTGACCACTATGACCGCTAGATGCCGCCGATTCTGGTGCTATAGTTGATACGGTCTACTCGTCATTGAACAAACTATTAATATAGCTGACAATGCAAACTGGGATATAGTTCCCACCGACAGTTTGTTGTTTTCACATTCGCAGTGACCGATTCTGGTAATGGATAGCACCTTGTGGTGTCTTATTTCGATAGTTTTATCCATAACAATTGTAAATGTGAAAATGTAATGAACCGCAAATGTTGAAAAATGCAGTGATCTTGTTTTTGCAGTAAGCTGACGGTATGTTTGAACAATAGTTCCATCAGAAGAGCATTTAGAAAGTAGGGCTTTTCGTCAAACTGTTAACACTTCCTTCTACGTACTAATTCAATCAATACATGCATCAGAGTGTAAGCAGAAACATATTCTTTTGATCCTACAAATCTAGCAGTGTTGAGGTTTGTATCATTTTAGCTACAATTTTCAATTGAAGCCTTTGGTGCAAAAAGGTGTTAACTCAGATTTTATAGTTTGGAGGTAATTGGCCTCAAAGTTTAAATCCTGAAATCTTTTATTAAAGTATCTCGAATAGACAGTTTTGTTAAAAAAAAACTGTTTTAATTATCTGAAATTTGAAAAAGATTGTGGTAAATCTGACTTAACACCTTTTTAAAAAACTTATTTGCTTAGTCCGGAAAACTCAGAAAAGTAATAACGAATAATTCACACACTAACTAATCGTCTCCTATTCTTAAATTTTGATAAAAGCCTCTAAAATTTGCTATTAAAGGAATTTGTTCCTGATTATTATCAAATTTTTTGGCCCCAATGGGTCGTCAATAATAGTCCAATTTTCCGTTTCATTAAAAGAATATCTGTACTTGTTTACACCAAATTCTTCAATATGGATTCATCTTACATCTTTGAATGAAAATTTCGCATTAGTTGTAGTTTTTTCTATCAACCAGTCCAAGTTTTCTTGGAAGTTCTTTAATATCAACAAATTTGTCTGCCATTCTTGTAATATTAAAAGGTATTTTTTCTGGCTTCTGCCATGGTTGAAATATATTGATTCACCGTATAAATTAGTTGGTGCTTTCTGATAGACTTGTCTACAGCTTCAAAATCTCTATGAGTCCATGAAGGTATGTCCTACTTCAGGGAACTTATGGTCAATTTTTTGAATACTCCAGAGATTATTATTAGGTAGTGCCATAGACAGACAATATAGAAATTTGTATTTCAGCCACCTGCCGAATCACTCTAGGCAATCAGATGGTCGGAAACCATGCCTTGGTCCTTGATATTTTCCAAAAAAAGCCATAAGTGAGCCGCCAAACCTTTACCATTTGGTTGCTGTGTTGATATCAAATGTATTCCTAGATTGTAGAGACATACTTGTCGTAAATAGAAGGCTTTACTTGTAGAAATTTTCGGCAAGGGAATAGTTTTTTGTAAATCAAATGTGATTATATGATTTTTTCGTCTGTTTTTGTCCGTCAAAAGCTTTTTTACACTTTGCAACATGTTCCTCATTCGATCCTACATCTCAAACATTTTTACATTTTAAACGAAAACTGAATTAACCCTTGAGTTAACACCTTTTTACCTATAATGCAAGAGTTAACACCTTTTAAGGTTTACATATTGAAGTTTTTGATATAGTTAACACTTTTATGAATCTCTGTATCTGCGAACTGAGAGCTATCTTTGGCCGGATAGATGTACTACCAAAAAAGCACCCTTTTAACATGTTTTTGCACTACAACTCTTTAAAATCGAGTCAACACCTTTTTGCACCAAAGTCTTCAATTATGACAAGAGACAATGTGCGCTGGAGATGGTCACACCTCGAGTCTCGCTGCTAGGTAGACGGTACCTAGCCAATGTCATTGGCGCTACCTGTGATGCTTGAATTGTATGTTAGGGCTAATATTATAACATAGGGAGCGTTGATTGCAAAGGTAGGAAAACGTCGCTACATTCTGGTTGTGTATTGTTACCTGTACAATCCTCCTTGAATGCTGTTTTGTATCAATGTCTGAATGCTATAATCTCTATATTTGCAGATTAAGGACATCCAAGTAAGTGATCTCCTTCTACGCGCTCCTCTGGCACTAGCCGAAGACGATCCGTAGAACCAAGAAAAATAGTACGGTCAATAAAGATGAATAAAATTGCCATATCAACGTGATCAGTATTTCGCATTGACGGTCTATTTTTCTTTTGTCCATTTCATTATTTTTGTGTATATTTTGCGCTTTTTTAGTTCGTAGCACCAAGTGATTATATATTTTGTTAGAAAAATTTACAGTCGTTATAAAAATATTCTATGGCATATATGGCATTGCATCCAGGATAAAATCATCCTTAGTAAAAATAATGCTTAAAGTTCGCTTTAGTAGTATAAAATTTACACTTTTTAGACAAATAATATTAGTTAAACTAGTTACAGATTGTTTTGAGGGGCAGGCATTTCGTGAAAACAGTATCTGTCAAATGTCACAAAGCATTTTCCAAAGAATTACCAAGTTTATCCTACAGAGGAACATGTTACATATTTACTTTACTAAAGTAGTTTGTTTAACAGCAACTGCAGACTTAGAATCCAAGAGCAGATATCAAGCAAATATGGAGGACACTTATGGCCATGTATTGATTTTCAAAAAGATAAACATATCTTATATAATAGTTTTGAGATTTGATCTTTAATCCCCGTACTTATGCGTTTACTTATTATCCTCAAAAATGAATTTATCCTGGATCTAAAATATGCGCCAATTGCTTTTCAAGGAAAAATTTCCTTACCTTTGTTCTTTTGTACAGGGTGTTAATAACGATGATTTCATTTTAAATAACGTCCGTGGTATCAAAAACTTTATTACACTCTCCTAAAGCCCTAATGATACATAAGTTAGTTATAAGGGCAGATTTTGCTAGATCGAATCCGAATGTGTGAAACACCCTGTATTATATTCACGCCCTATTACCCATTTATCCACTTGAAGTATTTTAGATGTACTTACTTTTTAGGTATGTAAGGTAAAATTTCGGGACCATGTTCTTTGATTCCCAACAAAACTGTTACAAAAAAAACCCAAACAGTCGAAAATTCGAAATGCTGTTCAAGTTTTTTATAGCTAGGTTTACGAGATTTTTATACGGACAGTGTTAAGCAGTTTTTAATATATCCAACAACTTCATGTTTTATATGTTTTTTAACTGTTAATAAAGTGCAAACGTATAGTTGGTAGTATTTTAAATTCGCGTTTCTTTTTTTTTCATGAGCTAATTATCAAGTCGAGAAAAATTTTCTGAAAATTAAACCATAAAGTGCTACAGACTGCATATTGTACTTAAATCAATTTTCACAAATCAAAACTGAAAAAAACACTATTATGAGATAATTATGGAACTACAGAGCAACGCGTCACAATTTTACTTACATTTGTTTGCCTATGTTTGTACCACTCTCTAGTACCAAGGAGTTATAGATTTGAAACAGTTTTTCTATTAGTTTTTCTTCGACTTTGAAATTAGCGTACCTATAAGCGGCCTGAGAAAGTTTTCTATTGTATTTTCAACAGAATTTGCTAGGAAATGATCGTGAATGCAGCTTTTTCTACAAAAATGAAGTTATTAATAAAAATGGTGGTGGTTATGGAGTGTGAATGTGTGAGCAAAAGTTTGTCTACTGTTCTATTAACAAACAAAATATGGTCTTATGTTTTGTTGGAATATGTTTTATATTATTATCGCATTTTGTTAGAAATATATATTTATCGATTATTTCACATGACAGAACATCACTAAAATACATTTTTTATTGTACCCCGAGTTTGTGCTTATTTCATCTTTGCTCCCTATAAAGTCTCCCTGTTCCTGAAACCGTTTACTTTATAAAAACCGTTTTACAGTCCGTAAGAGCATTGCATGCAAAGTCTTGAATTGGAAGACGGCATTGTTTGGTCCGCTAGACAATTGCATCCACTAACTTGCAGTTGTAGGACGACCCTGTTTCCTCGATTCAAAAGCTGATATATGTCATAGTTATCACCGCAAAATTGTGGTATTTACCCAACTCACCAGTAGTTTTATATTTCTGGTTATTATTTGAAATGTGACAAGTTAGAATTTTGCCGGGTATTGGATATTGTTATTGTACTTCAGCTTCATTTTTGAGAAAAATGATACAGGCTGACTTCAGTTTTACCATAAAGTGGAGCACCTTATTAGTTATACTCATTACGGTTGTTGAGGACACTTTAAATGTAGTTCCTATGCTTAACAAAGTATCCTGTGTAGCCATATGCCACAAGAATATTAAAATATGGCCATATAAACTCGCTATACTACAACTATTTAAAACTGTAATGACTCATACGCGTGATCAACACGTGATCAGAGCTCGATCCCGGCTTCCTTCCAGTACAGCCGTATAGCGTACGACATATGTCGTTTCTGTGGCTTTGCGGTGGTCAACAGCACAGACAGAGATGGAAATAATGGCTGATTGTTCTCCGCCGGTAGAACCAATGAAATCAAAGACGCGCCTCGACCGGCAGACTCATAGGCGTCGGCAACGCATTGGAACGTGTTTCGTTGAGCGATCGCGTATTGTGTGTTTTTATAAGAATTGTTGTGTGATTGTTATTGTTGTGGTTTCTGTGGTTACTGTTTTGGTTATACTTAACTATGGAGAGTACAAATGGCACGAGTGGAAGTACTGAAAGCCAGGGAACAAGTAGACGGCTTCGTAAAGCACTGACGAGGGTCGCGAAAGAAATCGTCCTCAACGTGTTCAATTATCTGAACAGAACTATGTCGCAGGGAGATGCACTCGCGCGTTGTGAAAGTATGACAGGCGTTGCAGAGTGGACCATTCGCAGGATGGTGCATGAAAAGAAGAAAACTGGAGCTAGTACTGATCCAAAGTTTAATTTGAAGGGACGAAAGGCCGTTAAATTGGATGACGATAGTAAAATGGCGTTAAGGCGAACCGTACATTCATTCTTCTTTAGGAATGAGATACCAACCCTCAAGGCTGTACATGCAGCGATCAAGGAAAATGAAATTATACCCCAAATGAGCGTCGAGGTAATGAGGAAATCCCTGCACGAAATTAATTTTCGTTACGAAACGCGTAATCGGAAGTCAGTATTGATAGAGAGACCTGAAATAGTCGCCTGACGTCGAAAATATCTACGCGAAATGATTGAATATAGGCGACAAAGCAGAAAAATCTATTATTTGGACGAGACATGGGTAAATGCAGGTCACACAGTTAAAAAAACGTGGATAGACAAAAACGTAGTGCGTAACCGACAAGCAAGCATTGAAGGTTTGTCAACAGGTCTTCGTGGACCGTCAGGGAAAGGTCAAAGATTGATCGTAACTCATATTGGTAGCGATAGTGGCTTTTTAGAAGAGTGTGACTTGATTTTCGTCTCTAAGAAAGGAGGTGATTACCATGACGAAATGAATGCCAGCTGCTTCGAGAGCTGGTTTCAAGGGGTGCTTCAGCGAGTTGAGCCCAACTCTGTGATCGTCATGGATAATGCTTCCTACCATAGTCGTCGAGCCGAACGTGTACCGACTATGGGATCTCGAAAAAGTGACATGCAGCAATGGTTGCGTGAAAAAGGAACCCCGTTTGACGATTCATGTGTGAAAGCGGAATTGTATGAAAAAATTAAACAGCACAAACCTGCGAACATTAGTTACGTGACTGATGAGATGGCCCGTCAATGTGGTGTCACTGTGCTGCGGTTACCGCCCTACCACTGTGAACTGAACCCAAGCTCATCTGGGCTCAAGTGAAGTGTTATATTGCGATCCGTCAACGTCAGGTAGTCAGAGTCGTATTTTGTTTTGTTTTTTTGTACGCTACAGATTCATTTTGTACTTGCTAACAGCTCTTTCATATAGAAAAGTTTAGTTGCATGCAAAAAACAAAACGCTAGGAATAAGTTCTACTAGATTTACACCCGATTCATTATTGCCAACGTTGCAGACTAACACAAAAATGTCACTTGCTGATCTGCTGTTCACCTCAGTAGACGTCAGACCATGATGGATACTCGTGAAATATGTTTACATCAATCTATAACCACACAAACCACCGGACTTAGGACATTTGCATCTATTGGTAACTTGTAATTTATTAAGTAATCCACCAGAAGTGCATAAAAACTTGCATGAAAAAGATGCTATTAGATGCAGGGTAGTACTTTTTTAAGAGCACCATTATGTAGTGCCGGGTATATGAGTAACGAGTACTCGAGTACCGTATAGTTACTTTTTCACCACTAGTATGTGTATCCCGGGGTAGCGACGGAGTCATTTAGTACGTCAAAGCGGCAGTTTTCCAATCTTCATTTGCATTTTTCAAGCGGTGTGCAACGATTTCGAGAAAAATTCCGCTACGGATAGTCTTCTAGAGTATATTTCAATACTTGTCTTGCATGGCCATATCTTTACTCGGGCCCAAAAAAAAATATACCAAAGATATTTGTTTTGATCGCATGAATCGGTTCTGACAAAGGAACGATCGCATGAAATTGAATCGCCAAAAACAACTTTGACGTTGGCCCATCTCTCACCTTCACTTTGACAGTTTAAGCTGACAGCCAGGTGAGCTGCGAAGTCAGGCCAGGCGATATTTGTAAACAATTTGGTGATGAAGACAATTTAAATTAAGAAAGTTCCGTTGTTCCGTACGACAAATAAATATGTATGCCTTTCGTCGAATACAGAAGGTCAATCCAAACTTAGTCAGATCGCTGACAGACCGTGCCACTTTAGAACAAATCATCAGGGTAGATCATGCTGGAGAATTGGGTGCTGATAGAATATATGCCGGTCAAATGGCAATTCTAGGGACCACATCCAAGGGTCCCGTTATAAGGCATATGTGGGAACAAGAAAAACATCATAAGGCGACTTTTGAAAAACTCATACAGAAGTACAGGGTTCGACCAACTGTCTTGACACCCATTTGGAATGTAGCAGGGTTTGCCTTAGGTAGGATACTGTTTACCTTTTTTTGCTTTAGAGTTTATGAAAATATGTTTGACCATGATAACATATTTCTCAATCTAGTCTTTATACATTATTTGATCATGATAGGATTTTTTCATATATTCAGTTTGTCCAGAGATACTCAATATCCCCAAATCCTTCAATACCAAGGACTGCAAATACTCATCTCAAAATCCTAAGGTGCTCTATGTAGATAAAATCATAAAACCATTTTAGATCTCAAAACACTACATCAAGGTTCCAAATTTTTTAATCTCGAACATACCAAAACCCTGAACAGCAGATTTTGGAAAATTTATTGTTGAAAAAAATCTGTGATTTAGCCGTATATTTTTGAAATATATAAAATCAACAGTTTGTGGAGTATTCTCTTTCCCTACAAAGAAATTACTGTTGCTCTCATGATTGGAAGACCCTTAGTAGATCTCAGAACCCATTCAAACAATGATAACTACAACCACTCCTTTGGCCCTAAAGAATCAAGATTGTAGAACAATCTACCCAAGGAGGTTTTTCCCAGTTCCACTAAACTAAGCAAATCAAAAATCGGATTAACAAAGTTTGATTAAACTCGCAGCCGCAGTGCCCTGGTATTTCATTGATTATCCTATTCTACCTGAAGATAGCGAACCTGATGCTATATTCGCGCGACCAAGAAATTGACCTTGATATATCCGTTAGCGACATCTATGATAATTTGACATAGCTGATTTTCTATTTACTATATACATATACTTTGAAATAGATGGCGCTGCATATATGAGCTTATACAAGCATATAGGCGGTTAGAGCTCCATCTAGGAGGCACTCTTCTTTCAACGTGTGTACATATAGTATCCAGAGAAACAGCTGTGACAAATTCTAATAGATGGGGCGAAGGTATGTCATTTTGTTTAAAACATGTCTCAACATACACTCATCTCCATACAGTACACTCCCAAAGGTTTTTGCCAATAAAAATTGGATCACAACACAGCATGTAATTTGAGCCACTGCTCTTGAAAACACCACAAAAGTTACTTTTAAAAAATTTGATTGAAACAAGAAATGAACAGGCTATCAACTTCAATTTTGGTTGAAAACTAAGTGAAAAGTCCCCATCTCTAAACAGGTCTTGAATGACAGTGTAGCTCCTTCCAGTTATTACCAAATTCTCAGAATTTAGCATACTGTGTATCTTTCTTAAGTGAATATCTTGATTATTTCTGTATAAGAAACATCTTGTTTCATATCTGAGGAATATATTTATATTGTAGGAGCCACTACAGCTCTTTTGGGAGAAAAAGCAGCAATGGCTTGCACAGTCGCTGTTGAGACAGTCATTGTAGAGCACTATAATGACCAACTGAGAACACTTCTAGAAGACCCTGAAGCTAATAAAGAATTAATGGAAACTATCACAAAATTTAGAGATGAAGAGCAGGAACATCATGATACTGGCATTGACCATGGGGCTGAACAAACACCTTTTTATGAAGTATTGTCAAATGTAATTAAATTTGGATGTAAAGGTGCCATAGAAATTTCAAAGATTATATGAGAAAGTAGTGTGGTTATTATTAGGACTCAACATACCAACACTTGATACACACCTATTTCTACCATAGCCAGACAAATGACTCAGTGGTAGAAAATATGTGTACTTGCCATAACAAGTATAAGTCAAAATAAATGGAATACAAATAGAATATTAATTTTACATAATTAATTGGAAACATTATGAAGTCAAAAGCAATAAGATGAAATGCTCATTTACAACCTGCCTTTTGATCAGTGACTGGTATGTTTAGTGTTAAATAATTTTATATAATATACCTATTTTTCTTAGAATTGGATTGTATGTGATGAAATATTACAGTATTAAGTAAATGGTTTGTTTCTGTGCTGATTTATCACTCCCTGAAATTCACACTTGTGTTCCAGATAGGCATTATAAAGCAAAAGTTTTGTACAACAGTAAAAAGAGGAAATAGAATAAAGTGAATATAATTTTACAGACAAATAAACTTACATCCTTAATGAGAAAATTTCAGTCACATTAATAATATCCAAGCTGAAGGTGGTATAAAATTTAAAAAAATGAGAAAGTGTTATGATACTTATAGTAGAAGCATATCATACACAAATATATAAATACAACAAACCTATAAGTAAATATATAGCTTATATTTAAATAATGAAAAAAAGATTAATAGCTTAAATACAGAAGCAGACATTATGAAAGTTAGGCCTTAATACATAATTATACAAAATAATCTCAACTCAGTGGACACACTTTTTACACAAAACAAAACAAGCGTTTACATGGTCCAGTATATTTTCACCATTCAAAATCCTCAACCTAGTGTCCATTTACTCATGCTTCTCAAAAATCTTGGATGCTGAAAAACAAAAAAAAATTGAGTTTGCTTTATCTAGTCATAGTTATTTTATGGTGAAAAAGATGACTAACACAAAGTAGAAAAAAAAAGAGAAGCTAGATCTGGTAGGCCCTACATAGTTTAGAGATATTAATCCCATTTTTACCTCAATTTAAACTATTCATGACAAATTAGGACAAAACAGAAAAAAATAGCATTTTTTGTTTTTTTTCACAAAGTAGATAATCTTTTCCACATTTATAAACATTCTATAAAGGCACCAAATATAACAAAAAGAACTGCACATTGCCATAATACAAGAGATGTTAGACATTTGTGTCTGGGCGAAACCATACTCTGGGGTTAAGAATAAGATATTTAGTAAATCATCAAAAGAGACTATGCAAGACAGCATAAAAACTTAAACAACAACCAAATCCCAGTTTAGATTTTATAAATTTATTCAGAAAGCTTGACAGAATTCATGCAAATTTTTAAAAACTTTCTATTGATGATTTCCCATTGAAATGTAGATTTTCAAAGTCATAACAGTTACCAAAAATGTTAAATTCTGCAGAATTATGTGCTATGTTCTACCTAGTTAGACCTCAAAAAGTCTTGACCCATTTAGTGAGACCTTTTTCTTCACTTACCAGTATCTTTGACTTTATCCATAGTGTCATCAACAGACTTATGGTGCTTCAAAAAGTATGGCTTGATAATCTTGCGATACAAAAACAGAGAGCCATTGAACTCTGTGGGCATCATCAACCAAATCAGGAAAATGCACTACAAATAAAAACATTATTTTCATTCATAATTTGTAATGTATGACTAGTAAACAAAATGTACTGATTTAAATACTGAATCATGAGTCACCATGTTTTGCACTTTTACAGTATTTGATATTGATGACCATTAAAACGAGTCATTCAGTAAATTAGATGCTCATCAGCATGATATCATGTTCAAATATAAATCATTACATAAACAGCCAGGTAGCCTGTTTAAGGGATGACCCTATACCTTAGTTAGCCAGTACAGAGGGAACCAGTTGACAATGGCATTCGCAAAATACTCCAAAATAGAAAAGATTGCGTAAACCACCCAATACGTGAGCCATTTGGTGTCGTCGTCCTTAGCTCTTGATTCTATTGCCCTTATCGAGACGTACGCAGGGTAGATGAATCCAACTGTGTTACAAAGCAACTGGGCGCAATAACCGAACACCAACCAGAGGCCTACAATCACTGCAGATGCTACAACAGACGAAAAAATGTGAAATGATGCCGGATTGGGGGCTAAAAATAACACTCACCCAGAAAGATGTACAGTCGATCAACCCCGGTTTTCTTTTCAGCTTTATCCAGAATAGAAGTCCATGGCTTCGACGAATCTCGAAGAGACGCATCCAATTTGTGTTTAAATTCGTGAAATTTATTTGCCATCGTAAATTACACCTTCTACGTTATTTACGAATTGCAAAATGAGCGGGCAAAAATAATCGACGCAGTTATAAAAAATTGACGCCAATGTCAAAATCACAAAGCATAAAGAACATGTCAAGCATACGTCAAGATGTATTGTGCCATGTCAGAGAACATTCATTGGTGGCCATAGAATGCCCCTAAATAAATACGTTATGCTAGTAGATCCGCCATCTTCTAGTGCTCTAAATATCTTGACTGCAACTGGAAATACAGGGACGACGTATTATATATGGCCTATAATCTCAGCTGTATCTGAAACGACTACCGGTAAAAAGTGGGCTAAGAGATTCAATAAATTCATTGAATATCCCAGTTCTTACTAATTCTTAAACCCCTACCATGATAGTAAAATAGAAAAAGTTTTCCTTTAATAAAAGCGATACCAAAAATAAGGAATTCGGGTAAGGTACTAATATTAATTTAGGAATACCTGCCTCTGGCCCATCGCACTATATATTGGTTAGTAGTTAAAAGATGGAATTAAATAATTATTCTAAATTCAATTTCAAACTACGCAACCGTAATACAAAATCAGAAAACGTTTGATTGCAACATAACTGTTTGAACAACGATCGTCATTGCAATTAGACCACAGATATCGATCCTGAAACCAGTCAGTGTATTCCTTGATAGTTAATCATTTGATAGCCACCATCGTGATGGACCTTTGGCTCAAGGTTTTACCAGGAGTAATTTTTTCCTACCTGCCGAGAATATAATCACACATAACACGCCTGGTAGCAATGAAATCGAGCTGTACGTGTAATATAGAAAAACATGAACAAGACGGTCAACACGGATTTCAATCAAGAATTTTAAAACGTGTTGGAGGATCGCCATCAAATTTTGAGATAGGGCTTTAGTAACGTCCCCTTCTTCCTCCTCAAATTATCACCATTCATAAGTTGTTTCAGACGAAATTGAAATAATACGAGAAAATACTATGTTTCTCATCAGAGTCCATGTGCATGTATGTTTTTTTCTTTACACCGAAGTAGACGCGCAGACGGAAGCCTGAATGCCAGGACACATCAGCGGCTGCTATGAGGACTCCAAAGAAACTTTGTTAATCCGACTTGAAGTGCCTAAGGTTAGTACAAATGGAAAAATCCTCCTCATGAAGATTGTTTCACAATCTCGACAACCTAGAGACAAAGGAGCGGTCGTATCGGCCAGTTCTGGATGTACGAAGTTCGGCACGGTTACTATGACAGGCCGAAGTCAGGTGTGTCTACCATAAGAATGGATGGCTCCACAATTGCGTGACGTAAGATAGGAGGTTCCCTGTGGATCGCTGATGCCGGAAACAATACTGCCTGTTGCTAATCAAGCTGTGACGTTCGAGGTAGTCCAGAAGCTCGCCTTTTATGCACCTGTCCATCACCTTACTTAAAACAGAAAGCAGAGCTATAGGTCTGTAGTTGTGAGGATCGGTCTTAGATTGGTTGGATCAACCTGTAAATAGTTTAAGGATTATCTCAAGAACTAAGCGGTAAATAATAAAATGTATCATCACCAAATCGTGAACATACAAAAGTTCCGACATTTCTATAAATTGTGACCAAGCGCAAATGCCACCTTAAGAAATTGGAAGTGCATTGATCGTGATGTATATACCATAAGCTATTTTACTTTCTCTACATATTTATCAAATGCAAATATTTTGATTGTATATACAGTCTAGTAGACAGTATAATGCATCGAAGAGCTGTTATAAATAGTTGGATTAGGTATGCTAATCCATCAACGTCACTCATGTTTAGAAAAATTTGCGTTCAACATAAAACATTCGTTTCAAAATATTTACTAAGTCATAAATTGTTATTGATTCCAATAAGTATGTACCGAACAATATAAAGTATATATACAGAAATAAAAACGTATCTCATGCGCGATAATTATTTATATATTAAATTCACGTCCGATCTGAAGTTTTGCTATTGTGCTATTTGCTTATTCAACACTGTTAATGCATTTATATCGATATCAATAAGTACAATGGGTTCCACTTTTTCTTCTATTTACATCTCCAAAATATCCAAACCTCCGAGAACTTAAAATCCTGATTAAAAATGGAGGAACAATAAAATTCGTTTTTACTATGAATTTTCGGAATGTGTATTCAATAATCCAAACGGCAAATGATGATAGAATCAATGCTATTTGATTATGCTTGCTCATATTCAAATGAGCTACAGGAAAAGTAAAGATCATTCTCAAATGTCGAAGATGTAAGAATTGCACAAATATCCCCTGTACTTTTCAAAGTTGCAAAGACTTACACGCCACGAGTCATCGTTTAGAGTAAGTCTAAATGCTGAGAAAACAAAGAAGGTATCTTAATAAATTTAGGGGTTAATGAGCCTCAAAGAATTAGCCTCCGATACGAGGTACCATTGCCTCTTCGGTTTTGTGACAATGGATTACCAAAAGAAGCTTATTTTCTTTCTTTAGTTTTAAACTATACTATCTAAAATTATGGCTACCAGAGGACTTTCTAGGCAGCATTTTTCTAAAATGCACTGAACACATACCTTACAAAACAATGTTTTAGAATTATTAATTGACTATTTTTGAAAGCACAAATAACATCATGCCCCAAGCACATCATTGTGATTGCGGCAGAAGAAACGAGTCTCCAATTTTGCAAAATGTCGTTTTGAATAAATAATAGGCCAATTTTCTGCCAATCTAGCGCAGTATGCAAGCTAAATTGATCATCTTGTGTTTTGGAATCCGTAAAGAAACCAGCCTATATAAAATTAAACAACAACTGGACCGCGTTATGCATAACTTGACCAAGCGCCATTTGATAAATTTACAGATTTTGCTGCTATCTGATGCGCAGTAGTTCAACTTAAACCGCTCCTACACGATGTGACGAATGCCTTACAACGTTGGACACATGGCCATTCGCCACATCGCATTGTGTGGGAGAGCGCTGACGTAATGCATGTGTCCAACGTTCGCCACATGGCACGTTCGGGCTGATGTCATGTATTTGATGGTTTTAGGATAGAACCACTAGCGGCGACAAATATTATTTATTTGTTTGCTGTGATTATGGTGAAGTAGTGGTATGTGGGATGTATTTTGATTTGAATACCTACCTATCCATAATAATGTATGTTCAGTAACTGACTTTTGAGGAGAATGGATTAAACTAGTATACATACAAAGCATAGGCTGCCATAACAATATTTTTTTCATATTGCTAATATTTTGTACGTTTCACAGGTGAGTTATGGCTGGCCTAAGGATATGTATTTTAGTGAATTATAAATTATCAAATGCTTACAGTGGTTTCATTATAATGTCCTGTTGCAATGCAAGACTAGTTGAGAAATATATTGACTACCATCTCATAACTAATGAAAAAGATTAAATAAATGATAGCTCAGAAAGTACTATCACGATTTTGATGAAATTTTGACCCTAGGTTACTACTATGAACAAACAAACAAAAAACGGTCGAACTTCGTTCTTAGACATTTTTGAGGCTTCTGACAGACTTAAGTTTTGGTCGCTGAGGACAGATCTGAAATTATTGTTCAGCGCTCGGAAAAATTGTTTTATCGTTTATTTTGTATAATTTTTCCATCAGCTGTAAAGGTTCAAGCGCGACACTGACATCGATAATACACGTTGGCACCACCATGCGTCGAACGTCCGAGACTAAAAAGTTCATCCCATCATGTAGGAGACACACTTGCCAATTGTGGGGTGTGGAACGTTGTAAACAACGTTGGAACCATCGTGTGGGACTCGCATTACATATAAAAAAATGCAGGCAGTATAGAGACCCGAGGTTCAAAGGCGAAAACATTCTTAACTAAGCGCCAAGCGTAATATTTTTTGTTATTTTTTTGCAGCACATGACCAAACGTAATAGATAGGTTGGTACAGAAGGCAATAAGGTAAACTGGCTCAAAATTAGAGAAATTGAGGTGTTTAAAGACAAGCCTTCCAGTATTTTTGTTAAAACTGATTTTGAAGCTCTCTCTAAAGATATTATAATATTGAAAAATGACGTGGCAGACCATGCTTCGATTCAAGCATTGCTTAGTAAATCCCTCGAAAAACTGTGGCCAAATGGGAAACCCATAGCAGAAAAGAAGCTAGACGATTTAAAATCATTACTAATAGTCTTATACCCAAGGATTCCAAGAAGTTCTATAGGAATCTAGTTGGTGATTCAAGTATTGAGGAAGATATAGATGGGTTCGATGGTCAACCAGATTCCGAGCTTGAGGATGAATAATACAAATTTTCGATTCAGGTTCTTGATTCATTTCGAAAATGTGTGGTTACTTCTTGCCTCATTTTATTTCTGAATCAGTATATGAATTTACTACAACATTTGTCATTCAAGCAATTTCTTATTTGGTTTCGAGAATGTTTTAATTTGTGTAGTTTTAATTTTTCAATGAATTTGATGCTAATTACTAAAATACAAAAATAAAGAATTTTTCTGTAATGCGTTCCTTATTTTGCAGGGCATGACCAAGTAAAAATGTTTGTATAAAGGCCACTAAGTCAAAGGAAAAATGAGTATTCTTTCTGAAAGCAATACTTGACCAAGCGCCATTTCATTTCATTAAGTTTCAGGTATGAGAGTTTTTGAAAAAATGATTGCATACATACATTTGTAATATCATTTTCTATCCACAGAACAAAAATCATGCAACTAAATCGTAGCATTGATTTTTAATGGACTGTTAAAGCTTATTCATCCTCCTGAAAAAACAGAGATTTGTCGCTTGGTCAAGTCATGCATAACGCGGTCTAAATGTCCTTCTAGTTCTTCTATGGACTGTGAGCAAATTTGGCTGAATATCATTGAAAGAAAAGTCTAATTGATATTCTTCACCCAATTACCAGGGCATGTTGCGTCACCGACGCTCCTATGTTCTGCTTTGCCAAACTGTTGTGGCTCATATTATTTTCTCACATGTAAAACAACATGATTCCCTTAAGATGTTGAAGTAGTATTCCTCGCATTCCAGATGCTAAATAATGCACTTGCAACGTTTTAGTCGAAGATTGCATAGCAATTAGCCGGTGTGGTGCGATAACATTTCTGGGTAGAGTTTCGGGTTTTTTCAATGCCTTTGGTGTTTTCTGGACGATGGACGAGGGTGACGTATTTGGTACATCAAAAAATGTCAGATAGCCTCATACTTGCTTGCCGTTTTGAAGGGGTGGACGTCCTTTTTTGGGAACGGGAATGTCAGCATGTTATCGGACTTATCAACTATCACTACGGGGTTTTATTGGCCAGACAAGCATGTAGGATTATCGACATGTAAAC